CTAAATGGATGTTATTCTGTCTGCCCTCTTCCTTGTGATGCTAGGATGTCTGTCCTTCAGTGTCCTTCCCTGAGTGCAGACATGCACAGCCCTCCGCAGGTGCCTGCACGGCCATGATCCATGGCCATCATATGTACAATATGCCCTCATGCAAGTTACACATGTGTATCTGTATGTCACACACCTCTTGGACATTAAAGACGCAGAGCTAGGGGACAGGGCGCAGGGCTCTTCCTCAATGATGCATGTAGTGAAGGCTGGCTCAGCACCAGACCTTACTATCTTTTATCTCTGGCCCTTATAGTGCACTTAATTCTATTGAGTGGCTATCATGGGCACAATCTTTGTAGCTGAGAGACTATATATTTTTAGATCTTGTGGGGGGAAAAATTATTGTCCCCAATATATGAGGGTCCGAGTAAAATAATCAGATAGTGTAAATGTAGAATCATTGACTGAGATTCTATTTTTGAAGGGCACATAGACCGGGGCACATCAGTAGGGGCAGAAATAAGAAAAGAGGGCAGGAGTTAAGAACAAGGATGGCAAAGAACTCAAGGGGCAGAAGGAAAGACAGACTGTGGAGAGCAGGCATTTAGAGAGGTCTGACTCTGGGGCAGCTCCCTGAGGGACGGAGGGAGGCTGTGCTGGCGGCTGTCTGTGAGTGGGAGGTAGGGAGAGTCGCCGTGCAGGTGGCATTGCTTGGAGGGCCTGCCGGTCTGAACTTGAAAAGACTGTGGACTGTTTTCTTGGGGAGAATCCTTCAGGGCAGTGTGATGAGCAGACCCCAAGGTGGTGATTCTGACCGGGAGCGGGTATATCAGAATCGGTTCAGGTGTGGAGAGGCGGTTCACGCGGTCCCCCTGCACTGACTCAGAGCGCTTCCTACGGAGCCTGCCTGTTCTCCTCGCATTCAGCCCTGAGTTACAAATCGCTGTTCTAATAAGCCCGGCGCTACTGGGAGTGTGTCAGAAACCTCGGGTTTGCTGAGATAGGAAAGCCAGACGAGAAGGCCTGCCTTGGAGCAGGCAGGTACTTTCCCACTGGCCCTACAGGAAAGTTGCCTGGCTGCTCCAGGCAGGCCAGCCTGCCCCGGCAGGACCGGTAAGCCAGGGTCTAATTTTTGGCTCCATCCCTGCTGTGTCAGTTGGATAATGAAGCCTCGGTCTCCTCAACCTCAGTTTCTGCCACGCTGAACTGAGAGCACCAGTGAATTGCTCGGGGGCTTCAGTCTGCAGAAGGATAGAAAGACTAACTAGATGGCTTTCAGTGGAGATCAATGCAAGATCCTTTACTTTGGCCCAGGATGCAAACTGCACATCTCCAGAGAAGCTGAGTCCAAACAGCAGCTCAATGCCATAGGAGGAGAGATTTAATTCACCGTTAGTTCAACAATGTCAGCAATGAGACTTCTTAAAAATTGTGGACTTCGATGTGTAGCTTCGTCTAGAGAAGGGGTGAGGAACATTTTTTTCTGGCAAGCGGCATTTGGGTATTTATAATATCATTTGAGGGTCACACAAAAATTATCAACTTAAAAATCAGCCTGCTATGTTTGGTCAAACATTTAATTAACTCACCCCGAATGCCTTGGCAGGACCAGACCAGATGATATCGAGGGCCTTCTATGGCCCGTGGGCGGCACGTTCCCCACCCCGGTCTAGATCAAGGAAGGAAATAACTCTTCTGCACTCTGTGACCTGCTCAGTCTGAGGAGACCCACTGACACTGTCCAGGAGAGACCGGAAACTTCCTTATGAAAAGTCGTGGGAGAAATTGAGCCTATTTAGTCTGACCAGAAAAGATGTGAGGGTGGGGAGACGGCGGTGATAGCTGCTGTCAAGTATTTGAACAAGTATCCCGTTCAAAGGGAGCTAAACCTGTTGTTTGTTGTGGCTTCGGAGCTCAGAACTAGGATCAATGGGTGGAAAGCAAAGGGAGAAAAACTTTGACTCAATAAAGAAATTCCTAATAGGAAAGTGTAAGACGTAAAAGGGACTTTCCTCAGAGGGCAGTGAGTTCCTCCTTGCTGGTTGCATTTAAACAGTGGGAAGCCCCTAGTAGTGGGCAAGTTATAAACCTCGTTGCAAAACCAGATTTAGATTTCCCAATGAAACTGCAGTTACCTTTGAGTGCAATTATAAAGGATGTGTCAAAATTAAAACCATTGTTAAAATTAATCAAAGATTTAGAAAGGTAGAATGAATTCCAGAGCTGGAAATTACTGATTTAAACAATTGTTCTCACATTTTAAACTACATAATAAGCTAAAAATTATGAAGCTTCAGAGCATAGCTATAAAGAGTCGTCTCAAACTAAAGTCAGAATGAAATGTTTTAGCTTTCAAAACGAAAAAGCAGAACAATTACTCCCTACCGAATGGTATAGGAAGAGGTTTCTGACCCCAGCTAATTGTTTTATTTTTCCTCAGAGGGGCACACTGGCAGCATCTCCCAGGGTTTTCAGTAATTACACTCCATTCAATATCTGAAGAATTACAATAATTCTACATGGGATATACTGGTGCCCTTCAGATGCAAAGTCTTTCGAGAAGCGAAAAAACAACTTAAAGTAAATTAGCAGGAAAATTATCCTAGTTACTGTTTATTTCAGGGCTCCATATATCAGAGGCTAATTATACATTGTATGCTACAGTTTCTTGGAGGTATCTGTCATGTATTTCTCATGCTGATCAACAGACGTGCTGGTTTTTAGGCTCCTTTAGAAAAGTGATGTCTGAACTTTTCCGATCGCCTCTTTATTCAATGCAGATACATGTCACTGAACGCTTGCCAGTCCTTGAAGCTGGAGTGTTCAGTGAAGTATAATGATTGTTCACATATGTATTTCTAAAGCTTTGACTCTGCCCTAACCAATTTTGCTCAGTGGGTAGAACATCAGCCCGTGGACTGAAGGGTCCAGGGTTCGATTCCAGTCAAGGGCATGTACCTTGGTTGCAGGTTCCCCAGCCCTGATCGGGGTGCGTGCAAGAGGCAGCCAATTGATGTGTCTCTCTCATAGATGTTTCTCTCTGTCTCTCCCTCTCCCTTCCACTCTCTCTAAAAATCACTGAAAAAAATATCCTCAGGTGAGGATTAACAAAAATAAAATAAAACTTTGACTCTTCTAGGAGTTCTTGTTCTGCCAAATAAGTTGCTTTTAAAAAAAAAAAAACACTACATAAGCTTCCTCAAAGTCACTTTCTATACTTTGGCAAGCCAAGGGTACATGAGACAAAACAGCAAGGGATGGCATTATACAGCCACTCAGGGATTAGAAAGTTTCATTTCTGGGCTGGAACGTTATCCATTTTCTGCTAGTGTTAGAACACACCCGCCATCTCTGCAGGACCCCCTTTGGAGTCTGAGCAGCAAAGATGTTCTGAGACAGCACACAGAGACGGGGGGTCCCAGCCGCTATGAAAATACCATGAGCAACAAATGTATATCCGGGCTCAGAAATGGCGCTTAGGTCTCACTGATGTTTTCCCTCATGTTTCTGTCCCTGCATTCCTTCCTCCCCCCCAACCCCCGCTCCTTTCTTCTCTTGTTTTTAACTAAGTTTAGTAAAGTACAAAAGATTTCCTACTAAGTCTTTTTTTTTAAATATATTTTTATTCATTTCAGAGAGCAAGGGAGAGGGAGAGAGAGCTAGAAACATCAATGATGAGAGAGAATCAATGATGGGCTGCCTCCTGCACACCCCACACTGGGAATTGAGCCTGCAACTGGGGCATATGCCCTAATCGGGAATCTAACCATGACCTTCTAGTTCAGTGATGGTGAACCTATGACACGCGTGTCAGAGGTGACACGCGAACTCATTTTTTTGGTTGATTTTTCTTTGTTAAATGGCATTTAAATATATAAAATAAATATCAAAAATATAAATCTTTGTTTTACTATGGTTGCAAATATCAAAAAATTTCTATATGTGACACGGCACCACAGTTAAGTTAGGGTTTTTCAAAATGCTGACACACCAAGCTCAAAAGGTTCACCATCACTGTCCTAGTTCATCGGTTGGTGCTCAACCACTGAGCCATGCCGGCTGGGCCCTAATAAGTCTTTATGGCAACAAAATTTTACAAAGAAATTAAGGTTACTTAATGACAAGATTAACATAGGTTAAATATATTATGATCCATCCATATGATTGAATACCTGCTTATTTTAAAAATGTTTTAAAATGCAACCAGTATCGAAAATAGTCACAGTGCCATGTGAAAAAATTCAAATTAAAAATACATATGACTTCAATTTTTTTTAAAAAAATATGCCGTTGTATATGTAGTTTTAAAGTATTAGAAACAAATATACCAAAATATTAATGAAGTTCCTCTGTGATGTGATCTTCTGAGGGGTTTTTACTTTGCTCTTAACATTTTCTATATTTTTTTATTCTTTTAAATGTGCATATGTTAGTGTTATAGTCAGAAAGGAAGGAGGGAGGGAGATTAACATTAAAACACATACTTTTGCTGGAAATTAGAAAGGTCAGTAATATACAGGGTATAGAAAATTGTACCGGTAGAACGTTCTGACTATGACTGCTCAGTCAGTATGATCTAATGCCGCATTACTGAGTCCTCTTTACTCTCAGGAACTTGACAGGCTACACCTTCTCCACATCTAGGATAGTTACAAATTCTCCCACAAATTCAGAGTGACCACCCGAAGGTGAGAGTGAGTCCTCAGGAGTAAGAGTCTCGGGAACCACAGATTGCTTTTTGTGTCCTGAGGAACAGGCAAGCGATCGAGTGGAATTACACCACTGGTGTCCCTCACTTGAAAAATGCCTTGTATGCATGAGTGTGGGTGCCTCTTTCAAGTACTTAAACAGGCTCTACATCAGCCAGTTGCCGCCAGATGGTCAGGATCTCAGAACAGGCTGTTTCTCATGGGCCCAGGTATTGCTGAAATAAATAATGGTTTGTTTTCCTTTCTGGATTAGACACTAAGCTTACTTGCATTTCAGTCTTTTTTCTTTTTTCTTTTTAGCGCATGATTGCAAATACTGCCCGGACAGTGAGATACTGCAGAAGCCAACCTTTCAGTAAGTCCAATGTTGCGATATGGATCGATGGTGGTTGAGTCCTTTTTTCCTGAGCCTACGGAGACATCCGAGAAAAGTCTGGACAATATTTGATTGTCAGAGACACTTTGGAGCATGAAATCCATGAGATAGGAGCCTGAGTTTAAGGATTTTCTAGTTGTTAAACCAGAAAATAACCATAGGAATATTACTTTATGAATGAACTTAAAGAGAATTAACTTGCTCTTTCCAGTGTGGCTAGAGACAACCAAGGCATGATTGCCAGTGAATCCTGCCTCAGACCAACTCTCTTCATGACTCCTCCCTGCTTGAGGGCGAGAAACTCCCATCAAGTCCTGATGACTCAGTTCCGTCGTTTCTAAGCTGGGAGAGATCATGTTTATTATTTCTTGCGGTGTTGCAAGAATGCATTCATGCGGATAGCACATTCGTAAAAGGTTCCATTGCAGGAATTCATGTTCTAGTTCTAGCGTTCCCAGGGGAACGTAGGGCGCTCTTCTTAGGTCTGAAGATGTAGCACAATAACTGGTACAACACAATGCTTCCCTATAAAGCTGTTAGTAATAACAAATAGCCGTTTGAAGCCGGAGTTAAGTTGCATCACAGCACAGACTCAGCATGCCAGACTAGTGCTACTGTTTGCTCTGGGCTGGGACCTCGGGTGCGGGGTGGGGCTCTGGCTCCCTCGAAGTGGGCTGGGAGCGAGAAGGTGGCCCCTGTCAAGGTTTTGCTAGCTTCATCTTTGAGTCACTTGAAGTCACTTGGCTCATTAAGTCAACACGATAACCTGACATAAACTGAGGCTACCAGTACCTTCCCCTCCAATTAACCTATGGCTAAGAGACGAAAAAGTCCTTGTTTTATTCCTCAGTGCTATCTTTGCTCTTAGCACAAGACTGGCCAAAGCAAGGGCTTGCTAACGTGGGATGCCAGAATTGCTAAATTTTTCAATGTACAGCAGAAATAATCTAGGAAAAATCATCTCGACTTGGAGAGCAAGTGGGCCTTTAAAAAATGGATTCAAATGGCTGTGCCTTCTCGTCCTTCCTAAGTGAGAGTATTCTTGCACATCAGCCACTCCTCTGTGGATTCTGCGAGTTAGCGTCTCACAGCTCTTCATCTAGTAACTTGCTCTATGTATAAAGACATGGTCATAAAGCAGTTATACAAGTGAATATGAGGATATATATAAGTGTTGCCAATCTACAACAAGGGTTTATAATCCAGAATCTGTGGCCCTTCTGGGGTCCAGGAAGTTCCTGAAGTTGTAAATATTCGTAAAATTTTGTGTGGCTGAGAAGGTTCATAGCCTTGAGAAAGTTCTCAATGAGGTCTAAGAACCAAAGAAACATGATAAAATATGTTTTGTTCCACAAGCCTCTTGGGAAGTAAATCCCCATCTGCCTACATTTTCTCCTAGAGCTCTGGGGGAAATATATATATATATCTCCAGTGCATTTGTTAAAGTTATCAGTAACTGATGGTAAACAACAGCTGCTCAGCTCTGAAGTCAACAATCTATAGATAAAGTATAGGAATAGATTCATAAGCATTATGGGATTATGTACAATGTAATTACAGTATATTGTACATGTGGAGTACACTGCCAATGAGAAGCGAGAAAACGAAACACTGTGGTATTATTTATATGTGATAATTATACTGATGAGTTTCTTCTTAGAGCGAGTGGGGGCCTTTGTATCTTCTCTCTGCTTTTCTGTTCAGACCTGCAGCACTCCCCTGCGCCCCTCAGGCAGATGGCCTTCTAACTGTCTTTGGGAGTGGCGTGAGCATCTGAGAAGAGTACATGAACTGCAGAAGTCGGGCACTGTGGCAGAGAGTACACTAGTCTGAAGTCCAGACTCTGACTTGGCTACTTCTGGTGTCCCACTACTAGATAGGAGCCCCACACCAGTGATCTATGGGGCAGAGGTGGCCCAAGGACCACAGCAGAATTGTTGGGTCTAAACCAAGCATTTTTTAACCTTTTATTTTAAAACTAGAGGCCCGGTGCATGAAATTCATGCACAGAAGGGGGGGCGGGGGAAGTCCCTCAGCCCAGCCTGAACCCTCTCACAGTCCGGGACCCCTTGGGGGCTGTCTGACTGCCAGCTTAGGCCCGATCCCCGGCAGTCAGACATCCCTCTCACAGTCCAGGGCTCTCGCAGTCTAGGACCCCTTGCTTCTTACCGCCTGCTTGCAGCCGAGGAGGGAGAGGCTCTGGCCACTGCAGCTGCGCTTGCCAGCCATGATCCTGGCTTCTGGCGGAGCGGCGTTCCCCCTGTGGGAGAGCACTGAGCACCAGGGGACAGCTCCTGTGTTGAGTGTCTGCCCTGTGGTGGTCAGTGCACATCATAGTGATGAGTCGTTCTGCCAGTCATTCCACCATTCGGTTGATTTGCATATTAGGGTTTTATTTTATGGGATAATGTCACAGTTTAATAAGTGAGAGAATTCCCAGGGAAGACGTTCAGATTTCTCATGTCTCTAGAAAAATAGGAAGATCTGGCAACTCAGGGTGCAGATGCAGAAGATGGGTCTGGAGGGGCCTGTGTCTCTATTTCACCACTGTCCAAGTCAGCCTTCCTCACTCGTATCTATGCCCTGCATAGAGTGGGAAGCATTTGATCCTTCTTTCAGCTGGGTTTAGGGAAACCAGTCAATCACATAGCTCTGTTGCTCACATATTTGGGGAAGTGAATAAGAAGAGAACAGTAACTGAGATTTCAGAAGTTGCATCAGAGGATCAAAGGTCTAGCAGAAGGCATGACTTCACCCCATGAGTTGTTTTTTCTGGATATGAAGAACTCTAAGAACAGAAAACCTGTGTAGTTATGTTGTATACTAGAGGCCCAGTGCACGAAAATTAGTGTACTCGGGAGGTCCCAGCCTGTGCCCTCTCGCAGTCCGGAACCCCTCGGGGGATGTCCACCTGCTGGTTTAGGCCCGCTCCCTAGGGGATTGGGCCTAAGCTGGCAGTCAGACATCCCTCTGGCAGCCCGGGAGCCCTCAGGGGATGTCTGACGGCTTAGGCCTGCACCCCATGGGGAGCGGGCCTAAGCCACAGTCAGACATCCTTACCACTGCCAAGGAGGTGGGAGAGGCTCCTGCCACTGCCGCTGCGCTCGCAGCCATCAGCACAGATTGTGGCTGAGCGGAGTTCCCCCTGTGGGAGCGCACTGGCCACCAGGGGGCAGCTCCTGCATTGATCATCTGCCCCCTGGTGGTCAGTGCGTGTCATAGCAACCGATTGTTCCCTGTCGTTCAGCCATTAGGGTCAATTTGTATATTACCCTTTTATTGTATAGGATTGTATGTAAGTAACAAAGAGAACTGGTGATAGTAATCTCACTTGGCTTGCTTCTGATCAGCCCGAGTTTTAAGTGCTTTTGTTAGAAGCTAATGAAAACTGTCTTTTGTCATTAGTCAGCATCTGATTCAGAGGGGCCAGAGATCAGAGTCTGAAACAAAGGCAAGATGGTTTGGGGAAACAATTTTAATGAATAACCAGGGACTCTCAGGTGCTGCTTTCACTTATTTTTTAGTGCCTTTTTTTTTTTTTTACAACATGAGATGCAAAGGAAAATGATCAAAATATGTGATTCCAGGGAAGAAAAGGGTGAGAGGGAGGAGATGGACCATCCAAGTGGAAACATTTCAATGAATATGGCATTGTTGAAAGGTCTTGATGGAGCCCAGCAATGTAAGATGAATGTAATAAGTAGCTGGAGAAAATAAAGTGTATCTTACATGCATACATTGTGCAATTTCAATTCTCTTTCCAACAGATCTTGACGCAGCTCAAGCTAATAAGAACCATCAGGATGTCCGGAGTTATGTACGGCAATTAAATGTGATTGACAACCAGAGAACTTTATCACAGATGTCACACCGGTTAGAGCCTCGTCGACCGTAGACATTTAAAGTGCCCAGAACAATGGTTTGCCTCCAGTCCACAGTCTTTCAAAAATGGCATTTATGCTACTACTGACTGTATTGTCACTAGAGAATGCTACAAAGCAAGCAAAAACACATCCTGAGACCTCTCAGGGCTGCATTCAGCTTACCAGCGTCATGACAAGAGAAGAAGTTATTTGCATCAAGCTTGCACTCTCTAGCATAGGGATCCCCAGTTTGTAGTCACCCGATCTCATTTCCAATCATGCCATCTTCTTTGCTGAAGCATAGAATAAGACCTACATGAACAGTTTGGTAGAAATACTACTGTCAAGAGAAATATCAAGTCTGACATTTTTTCTAAGAATGTTTGCAGGGTGAGATGTGCTACAAATGAGGTTTATTTGGATACATCAGTGGTCGTATAGTTTCATATTTTTTAACTCAACTTCTTGATTTGGAGCATGAGGATTTTGGAAGGTGTTGAGCAATTAATATAAATCCAAATTATAGTTTGTATTCTGCCATCTTCATAGTCTTACCTCTGAAGGAATTGAACCTGACCACATTCCTATAAAACATTATGACTCTTTATATAATTTAGGGAGGACCAGTCTGTAATTTCTGAATGATATAGAATAATATTTATGTTTACAATGTAACTTTTTTAAACTTTCAAATCAGGATTACATACATAAAAATTCCACTAAGAAACTCCAAGGTTCTTAAAATTTCCAGCGTTTAGATTTTAAAAAATAATAATACCATTTCAGAAGAGCACAATATGCACAAAAAAATTTTCAAAATTAAAATATTTTCCTGGGCATTAAAAAAAATCTTTACTATTGGCTAATTATTGTTACTGATAAAAATACATATTTTCTGGATTTAAATGTTATTACAAATACCTTAATTTTCAGCAATTGTTTTGCACTTTCAAATAGATTGTATATAGTTCATTCAATTGATGGTATAGAGTTATTTATTTGCTACATGATAGATATTGTGCCAAATAATTACTTTTTATTTATTTTATTTAGTATGTAATTTTGGGTACATTTCTTCCTGTTTTCACAATTAAGCTACATTTTATGAGTAGGAATTGTATGTATGTATATCTTCTGTAAATAACAGCTAGTGGCTTCATTAAATACAATTGTTGACAAGAAATGGTTCTGTTCTCAATTCCTATAATATGGGAGGGGTAATTATTTGGTATAGTGGGGTCCTGAATTTTAAAATTCAAATAAAATTCACATACTATAAAAGTCACTCTTTTAATGGGTACAATTCAGTGGTGTTTGGTATATTCACAGGATTGTTCAACCATCATCCCATTATAACTCCAAAACATTCTCTTTATTCCTAAAAGAAACACATACCCATTAGTGGTCACTCCTTATTCTCTTCTCTTCCCAGTCTCTGGAAACCACTAATTTGCTTTTTGTCTATATGGATTTACCTATTTTGGACATTTTTTAAATAAATGGAATCATATGTGTAGCGTTTTGTGTCTGATTTCTTTTACTAAGCATAACGTTTTCAAGTTCACACATGTTATTGCATGTATAATTACTTCATTATTTTTTATGGCTGAACAATATTCCATTGTATCGAAATACCACATGCTATTTGTCCATTAGTCAGTGGACACTTGGGCTGTTTCCACTTTGGGGCTATTAGGAATACTGCTGGTATGAAGGGGCACTGAGTTTTAGAAATGCCTCTTAAGGAGCCTCCTACCATTTCTCAGTGGTTTGAGCACTTAGTAAATATTTGATTAAGAAATTTTCCAAAATTCTCTAAATTCCAGATGTCTCTATTTTTTTTTCAAGCCTATGTTTTATTGGCTTTAATTACACACTTCAATATTTACAAAGTAAAATGAAAAGTCTATTGTATTAAAAAAAAAATACTACAGCCCAACTTAAAGTGCCCTGGGGCAGATACATGTCAATCAGCTAGAATCAGTGGCTATGTCAGGAACCAGGCAGTACTCTGGGGTACAACAAAGCAGTTTATTTGTGATCAGTGTTTGAGACTATACATCCTTCACAAATTTAATTTTACATAATGATATTCCTCTTAAACTTTGAACTGCTAGCACATGTCTCTATTTTTTAATATCAACATTTGCCAGAGTATGTTCCAAGCTATACTAATTTCACAAGTTCACATGCCTTTTTTTTTTTTTAAAGAAGAGTGAAAGGGCATGTTTAATTTTTTATTTAGTTTTTTTAAAAATATATTTTATTGATTTTTTACAGAGAGGAAGGGAGAGGGATAGAGAGTTAGAAACATCGATAAGAGGGAAACATCGATCAGCTGCCTCCTGCACACCCACCACTGGGGATGTGCCTGCAACGAAGGTACATGCCCCAGACTGGAATCGAACCTGGGACCTTTAAGTCTGCAGGCCGATGCTCTATCCCCTGAGCCAAACCAGTTAGGGCTCACATGCTTTTTTTAAATCCAAAAGCAGGCACACAACTGCAAAACAAAAAGCATAACCAAATGGTATCTTCAAATCAACCTGGGAACCACTGTGTAATATACCCCATTCTTAGAAATGATTCTTAATATTCATTAACATAGTAAAGGCTCTGAGAAGTCCTGTTGTAATCCTTTTTACCAGCCCACAGTCAAGCTCACTTTGAGAAATGCTACAACAGGCAAATGCCTTTCTGTGTCAATGGAGGTTCTTTGGGGAGGGATTTTGTTGCATGCAGTGTTATGTGTCATACCAGAGTGGTGCACAATGCTTGGAATTTACTAGAGAAAAAATGAAAGTCATTGAGTAAATTTTCTTGAAGTCATTATTGTTCAGCATTTCACTGTCTCATAGACCTCAACACCAGCTGTTCGGTTTCCACTTACTTTTTTTTCCCTTTTCTAGATTATTTTTAAAGATGACAAATAATGCCAAAAGCCAATCCCTTGGGCATCCTTACTCTTGTTTTGTTCTTCGTTACTCCTACCATGCTTAAAACTGATATCCAATGTCTGACAACTCCTTTCCTCCAATTCCATGGTGACTGACCCCTTATGATCTTATTTTAATTTAGTTTCCACATTGTCCAAAATTAATACATATTCTTCCACGTATAGTCCCCTGGGTCTTCCAAATGAGAATAACTATTGCTGTACTTAAAAAAAGTAGGAGATTTTTTAATTATGTCTCACTTCTTTGAAAATGTATTAAACTCTATTATTCAAGGTAGTGATGGCTAAGCACAAGCATTCACATTCTAAAAACAGAGTAGTAGCCAAGCAACCCTTCCGGAAGCAGGAGCTGCAGTTAATATTTTCAACCTTGCAAACAAGCCAAAAGAAAATGAGGTGCCCACAGGGTCACCAGAAGGATAATGAGGTTTGCAGAAGACATGTAAAAGAAGAAAGCATGTTTTTACCAAAAGCGCCCGTAGGAAATTATACATTTAAGCGTTTAACACACCTGCTTAGCGAGGTCACTGGTACAGAGCACAGGAGTTAAGCTGTTCCAGCAATTTTTGAATACCGTGCAGGTTAAATAGACTTCTTCTGAATTCAATGGCATTTCCTCTGAAATATGAATGCAGATCAATGACTAACAGTGTGAGGAAATTCAAAGAAGTGTCATTCTGGTTTCAAATTGTGCTTATAATTTCCTAAAATCAGCATAGAATATGCAGTATGTTAAAAATGAACCCTTACCTTCAATAGCTTTTCATTTTTTTTACTACTAATCTAAAAATGTTTTTTCTTTTCAGAATAATCTTAATTTTCTCTATGTGTCCTACACATATAGTGTGCTGTTAGATGAGCCTGTCACAGCATCCCCTGCCTTATAAAGGAGAAGAACCTTTAATTTAATTATTGTTTGTTATCTTTCTGTTCATTCATTCATTCATTCATTCATTAGCAAATACTGGTTAAGGAGCTTACTGAATGCCAGACCCTCTTTGAGCTCAGGATTCAATGGTGAGAAAAACTAGAGGGTTCCTGTTCTTCTGGAGCTTATCATCCTGTGGAAGAGACAGAAGATGAATCAAATAATCAAACAAAAAAATATAAAAACATTTCCAAGGAAGGATATGGTGTTGCGACAGTATGTAACCAGGGGATTGAACCTGATCTGAGGTGAGGAAATGTTTCCTGTGGAAGTGACATTTGACCTGAACTCTGAAGGATGAAAATGCTCACTCAGCAGAGGGCGGAGGAGAACGTGTTCTAAGAGGAAATACCCTTGACGGTGTGAAGTTCACGGTGGCAGAGCAGAGCGAGCTGGGTGAGCGTGCTCCAAGCTGTGCCGGAGACCGAAGGCTGGCTCAGAGCAGGCAACATCTCGCAGACCTTTGTAAAGAGCTTCCTCTTTTCCCCAAGAGCTGTGCTGGGGGCAGGGGGTTGCATTTATAATGGTGGCCCTTGGAGGGCAAGGTCATTGCTTTATTTTTGTTTTGTTTTTCTGCTTTTTTTAAATGGTGCATTTAAAAAATGTTTACTTTTAATTATAGTTGCCATACAATATTTTATTAGTTTCAGGGCTACACCATAGTGATTCAACATTTTTATATACCTTACAAAGTGATCATCACAATAAGTCTAGTAGCCCTCTGTCACCGTCCATAGTTAATACGATACAACTGGCTCTGTTCCCCATGCTGCACCATGCATCCCTAGGAAGGCCACTGCTTCATGACACCACCCGGCAGATGACTCATGGTGTCATCCCTAATTCCTTAATTCCTTTATTATGCAGGCTTAAAGGTCGGACAGAGAAAATTGTGGATAGTGGCAACTATTAAAAAACATACTAAAATACTAAAAGTGGTGGATCCAGATACATAGAATCAAACACCATCTCTCCTCCCGACTTAGTCCATGCTGTGCCACTTTAAAATGTTTTGTTATAGTAAAATACGCTTAACTTAATATTGACCATTTTAACCATTCTTCGAGTGTATAATCCAGTGGCATAAAGTGTAATCACACCGTTGTGCAACCATCACCACTCTCCCTTTCCACAATTTTTCATCTTCAACTTTCTGTTACACAGTGTCTCCCACTTCCGCTTCCCCCAGCCCCCGGGGAACCACAATTCTACTTTCTATCTCTAGAATTTAGTGGTTACCTCATATAAGTGATATCTTACAATATTTGTCCCTTTGTTTCACTTTGTTTGGTGTGTGTTTTTTAATCCTCATCTGAAGATTATTTTTCTATTGATTTCTAGAGAGAGTGGAAGGGAGGGAGGAAGGGAGGTAGAGAGAGAAACATCAACATGAGACACATCATTGGTTGCCTCCTGCACACGCCCCAACTGGGGCTGAGGAACTTACAATGGAGATAGGTGCACATGAATGGGAATTGAATCTGTGACCTGTTGGTCCGCAGTGATGGCGAACCTTTTGAGCTCGGCGTGTCAGCATTTTGAAAAACCCTAACTTAACTCTGGTGCCGTGTCACATATAGAAATTTTTTGATATTTGCAACCATAGTAAAACAAAGACTTATATTCTTGATATTTATTTTATATATTTAAATGCCATTTAACAAAGAAAAATCAACCAAAAAAATGAGTTCACGTGTCACCTCTGACACGCGTGTCATAGGTTCGCCATCACTGACATAGACCATGCTTACCTGTCTCCTCGGAGGCAGGGTGCCAATGTATGGGATGGCTGCTGGGGAAAGCAGCAACTAGGGGCCCAGGCTCAGTGAGTAGACGTCCAAGCATGGAGCAGAAAGTTTTCTTTTGTCACTGTGCCCTCTTGTAAGTCATGATAGCTCACCAGGCAGTCACAGCCCCAGAATCTTGGTCTGTCCTGGCTGCTCTGTGGGTATCAAACTACTGTTGCCTACTGCCAGAGACTTACGGATGGGAGCCCCGGAGGAAATGTTACTAATCCCAAGAGAATGGTGGCGTGGGAATGGCAAAGTGTCTGCCTCGCCTTGCTTCGGCTCCTTTGCCTGTGCTTATCCAGCAGTTAGGGAAGGTCAAGGATGATGCAACAGGAAGCCAGAATCTTTTGTTCTTGAGCAATTTAAATTTGGAAAGATTGGGGCCAAAGCTGTGCTATAAAGGGAAGTGAGCACAGGCTCGTGGCTGCTGACCTGGGAGCACCTACAGACTTGAGGACTAAGGGGAGACTGGGGCCAGGATATCTGAGAGGCGCCCAATTCGCAATAGTCTCCTTCCCCCAGGAAGGGCTCACACCCTCCCTAGGCAGGGAGATTCAAGAGGAGTGGGATTCCCCAATAGGAGGACCAACACGAGAATAATTGGAGCAAAAGTTGGCATAAAAGTCTCTAAAACAGGTTTTTGCAGCCCCTGAGAATAAAGGTGGCTTGGAAGATCCTCGTGAGGTGCCCATCCACTTACCTGGAGGCGTGTGACAAGTGTCTGGTGTGATAACAACATGGACCTGGCAGGAATGGAGGAGAATGGATGGTTCCAGTGCGAGTCC